TGGGGGGCTAGCCCCCACCGCTAATCGTGGGTTCAGTAATACTACTTCTGGGTTCAGTAATGCACAATTGTACGGCTGAGATATATAAGTATTATATTAGAGTCATCGAGAGCATGAGAGATATTACAATAATGCAGTCAGACACATTACATAGTAGCATTGCTCACCTCAGCCCAGCTTGGTGGTCCACGTGGAGAGAAGGGGGAAGGGAAGGAGGGTAAGGGAACAAGGGAGAGGGGAGTGACCAGGGAGTGAGCAGCAAGGAGCTCAGAGTCAGAGAGGTCAGAGAGCTCTATATTGCTGACTCACGCCTATATACCTTTTGGGGGGGTGCCAGCCCACTAATTACAGGTAGAGACATACATCACAGGAAGGGGTTACACTATAGGTTACACAGCAATGAGGGGGTGGTCTCTGGGTCTCCATAGGAACCATTATCAGTAGGGTGAAAACTCCTCCTACAGGAGCCTGTCCATTATCCCCAGAGGCAGGGAGCAGGCCAACCCCTGAGGTGGGATGAGACAGCAGTCTGGCAACTGATTGCCTTCAGGGGAGGGAATGCCTGCGCATCTGACCTCCCCCCACACTTTGGTCTTCTTGTAGAGAGAGGCCAGTCTCTGGAAGAGGACACCATTCTTGACAGAGTGGAAGGGCAGTGAAAACAAGGAAGATCCTTGAATAAATGGATAAAGTGGCTCCAATGGTGTGCTCCAACACGACAATCACGAGACCAACACAGGGCCAGGCAGTGTTTCATTCTGTTGTATATATGGCTGCTGAGTCAGGACCACCTCATCAGTCAGGACCACAAGGTCAGCAGTTTGAAACCACCAACTGCTTCAAGGGTGAAAGATGAATTGGATATCTGCTCCCATGAAGATTCACAGTCTAGGAAACCCACAGGAATCAGTTCTACTCTATCCTACAGGGTCACTATGAGTTTGAACCAATTCTATGACAACGAGTTTTAAGGTTGAGATAATTCAACAAATAGTTGCTGAATCCCTATGATGTGATAAATTTTGAGTGTCCTATTGAGATGCAAGATGAACAAGGCAGATCTGAACTTGAGGCACAAATAGATCATTCCAAAGCAATGAAGTAACAAGAGTGATCACAGGAAACATAGGATACATGGAAACAGAGGACAATTCTTAGTTCAGTCTGGACTATGAGACTTTCTAGTTGAGGACACACTAGTGCTGAATCACGGATGAACATCGGACTAGGAGAAAAAGAATAAAAAAAGAAGCAACAACCCAAACAATGAGTGTGAAAGAGAACTACAAGCAATTTAACAATGATTAGAGTGTAAATGGATGAGTAAGGACAGGAGCTGAAGGTGCAGGAACCTGCCAAGGGGAACCTGGCATCCTATACAGAGGCAACTGAATACTCCAGGGCGTAATGGAAGGAATTGGCGGTGCGTGAAAGAAGACAGAAGTCTTCACCAACCCTTTTTGTTTTTTCAGAAGCCGATCATTCGGTTCCTCTTCCCAGTCTAGTTTAGGCTGGAAGCTCCACTGAAGCTTGTCTGAAATGCCAGTTGCATTTCAGCATCACAGCAACACAAAAGCCACCACAGTATGACAAATTGACATATAAGTGATAGACTAAGGTGTACTTGACCCAAGTCATATTTCCAATTGCCTTATATGCATGTGAAAGCTGAACAACAAATAAGACCACAGAACACTTAGTGCCTTTGAGCTGTGGTGTTTACAAGGAACGTTGACAGTACCATGGCTGCCATTAGGAATAAATGTGTGATGGCCAGGCAACCAGATGTTCCACCAAGTGAGCATGAGCAGAGTTCATGATCTCATATGCTTTGGATATGTTGGTAAAGTTCATGATCAGCACAAAAAAAGACAAAAAGACCTACTCTTAATGAGATGGGTTGACAGTAGCTGTGTACGGACCAGGCAGGGTTTTGTCTGCTGTCCTTAGGGTCACTCTGAGTTGAAACTGACTTGATGCCACCCAACAACTAGGGAGGGACTGAAGCATCAGTCAGTGATCACGCTGGTTTCGAGGTAGGACTTGACGACTCTGGGGGCATCACGGCAGCACCCACATTGAGCTCTTAAACCACAAGGTCTGTGGTTGGAATTGACCAGTAGCTTCTCAGAACGAGGGCTTTCTGCTCCTGTCAAAGTGGATCCCCGTGGAAACCTAGAGGGGCAGTTCCAGCCTCTCCTGTGGGGTTACAATGGATCAGAACTGACTGGAAGTTTGGAAGGCTTGAAGACCAATTTGGAGGCTTTTGTCATCCGCAAGGTAAGGACATGAACGAGGCTGTAGAGGAGGCACCACTCAAAAACTCACTTCCGTTGGGCCCATTCTAACTCAGGGTGACCCTGAGAGCAGGGCAGACTTGCCCTGTGGGTTCCCTAGATTGCAACTCTTTCCTGGACTAGCTAGCCTCACCGGTCTCCTGTGGAGGGACTTGTTTTCAAATTGCTGACCTTGGGGCTAGCAGCCCAATGTGTAACCACCATGCCATGGTATCTCCAGAGGGATAAATATAATTATGAAGAAAACGTAACAATTGGGTATAAGAGAGGGTTGAACCAATCTTAAACTTCCTGGTAATGGAAGCTGTCACTGAGAGAAAGAGAGCAGTTAGGGGAGTGTGGTTTGGAGCTTTTCAGTTACCTATTGTATAAACAAACCACCGCAAAATAAGTGGCATAATTACTCAGGAATTCAGTGAACCATGAATGTGGGCAAGGTTCAATGGTGATGGATTTTCTTGATCCCATAATGCCCAGGGCTATGGCTGGGAAGACTAAGGACTAGAGTCACACGGAGAGTTCTCCACTCAATGAATGAATAGCACTTTCATCTGGCGGCTAGCGAACAGGGCTCAGTGTGCAGGTTCTGCAACGTCCCTGTACTGGAATCACACGGTAGCATCAGCAGTTCTCCTAATCACGGTAACTAAAATTTGCCTTTCTGATATTGCCAGTTGTGAAACAAGTATCTCCTATGGTTGAGCACCAGTGAAATTTACCCAGGATGGGAGAGATCTCAAATCCACCGCATGTATCTTAGGATGTGTGCAGTGGGCCAATACTGAGGAGGTGAGGAAAATATACAACAGTAAAAACTTTGGGGGGGGTGGGCCAAAAGCGAGAGTCTGCAGGAAAACCAAGAAAGACAAGTGTGGCACAGTGGTCATTGCTAGTGTCTTCGCAGTATCCTAAACCTCCACTGCCTACTTGGTCCACACCCACTCCTATTTTTTTAAGCACTTTTACAGCAGATTTGCCCAGTGCAACACACCAGTTTGTTCCTGAACTGCGCTTCCTGGGGTGTAAATTAGGGCACAGCTTCCAACATCACAAGCAGCCACCGGCAGGAGGAATGGAGACTGCAAACTGAACTGTCTTCAAACAGAACCTGGAAGCAAGATCGGAGCGGGAGACCTGAGAATCGGCAACCGAAGAGGATCCCCCCACTTCTTCAGGTGTGACGCCGATGTTCTTGTAACGTGGAAACATTGGAGCTGGTTAAACTGTCACCCAGTCCATTTTGTGCTAGAGATAACGCTTCCAGGCCCCTGAAGACGGGAATTTCATGGACGTGGTAGAAAGATATCAGGATATTGATAAGTGGAAAAGCCAGGCGCTCCAGTCCCCTCACAAACACCTGCACCAATGAACCCAGGCCGAATAATCATCCTGTAATAGCCTCAGATGCATGCTGGGGATGGCGTCAGGTCTTTAGCTTCATTTTTGTAAAAGATACAGCCCAAGATAAAGTATGTTAATCAAAAGTCTAGATGACTAGGATGCTTCCACACTTCTCGCTAAGGGACTAAAAGGACAATGGATAAGAGAACCTCACTGAACAAGACTGTTGGTACTTGCTACTAGCCCCTGGAGCCACCCAGAATGCAGCTGGTCACAGATGGTTTCAACAAGCTACTGCTCCCTTGGCAAAGGAGATTTGAGAAGGTTCAGTTCTTAAGCCAGCCCTCCAGCCCCTCTAACGATGAGTTCCTAGAGCAATGGAGACCTCACCAGAGGACGTTTCCTGAACATTTTCATAGGCACGGGCTTTACATCAATGGACAAGGGAGGTCACAGGAGGAAGGCTCTAAGGCAAGGACTCACTCCTACCAAGATTAGGCAACCAATATACAGATCTCGTTATCCCTATTTTACTAATATATTTGATGTTTCCTTTCTGTAACCATTTCTAAGTGTGGCACTGCCGTACTGCTGTTCCTTCCCTGCCAAGTCCCTATCTCACACAGGGCCAACATCTTCCTTCTTTAGGTAAACTTTCTATTCTTTGATCTGCCCAGCAATAACTCAATCATGGAACCACACTGCAACTGTAACATAGTACAGAAAATGAAAAGGTCACAATTATACAAGAGCTACTTCTCCACTCCAATCTTTGAAGGGCCTTGACAAAAGACCACCTGTGGTGGTTACATGATCTGTTGTCTATTTGAGACTTAAGAATGAAGGGGTGCAGTTTAGCCTGCCAATCAGGTCGCAGCTTGATGACCTCAAGCGGAGGTGCTAATGAGATAAAAAGCTCACTGGAGACAGGACACATGCCTACTCCCTGCAAGGATGCTTGCTGACAAGAAACGTGAAGCTACGCTAGAACCCTGGAGCTGAAGGAGCCATGTGGTGACCCCCTGCCAGCACCGAGATGCTTCCACTGCCACTGCATCCACAAGACTTCCCACCCACTGGCTTGTGATCTTCCTGTATCACATCACTGCATGTGTTTCGTGAGTCTGAAGAAAATTGATAAATTGGTATCAGACATAGAGGCTAATATCTGACTTATGGACTTGATCTGGACAGGGCTGGGATGTTTTCTCAATATACAATTGATATTTGAGCTCTTTCTTATATACACATGAGTGTCTCTGGATTTGTTTCACTAGTCCACCCAGACTAACACACCATCCTTACCAACATAACAGGTTTTCATGTCAAGCAAAAATCAACAGAAAGAAACACAAAACAAAGGAGAATTTGTGTAATATTTATTTTTTAGCTTCCCCAAATTGGGCTTTATTCTCACCTTTTCCCATTACTGTTCCCTTTTTTCCTAGAAATCCAAAGTTATTTGTGTTTTTACACAAAATGTTTAAAATCATGTTTACCTGGAATTATAGCAAAACATCTCTCCAGAAGTGGGGGTGGAAAAAACCACAGATTTATTCTTATGCAGCATTCTCAAATACACATATTAATATATCTTCATAAACTATTTAAAATAAAACCCTTCATCCTTTAAGGTTTATTAGCATTTTATAGTTCACTGACACAACTCCCAAAATACTATAATTCAATTCATGTTCATGAACGAGATGGGAAATATACTAAAAAAATGGATTTTAATCCCTGAGGTGCCAGTTAAAATGGACAAGGTTGCCATTGCAACAGAAGATTAAAAAATTAGCTATAAATAATAAGCATGGATCATGTGATCTAGATCAAAATTATCTCCAAAACATGGAGTCTTTAGAAAATTTCATTTCCTGGGTTAAGTTCACTCTGCTATCCCGCACCCTCATGCTGTAACAATCTTTCCTTTTGCAAAGGAATAAGACATAATGACATTGGTAAAACTTCTGGAGCCTGAGAAATCCAGAGAAACCACAGTCCCATTTCTCTAATCTCCACCCACATTGCCGGGGACAGTGAGCTAGCACCATCCCGAGATCTGGAAAGGTGGATGAACTGACTTGGTTGTCTCCTCTATACAGTCAGTCCAAAAGGAGCAGACACCAGCCTTCCTGGTTAGAAACTGAGTTGTCCTGCTTTTTTCTGTTACCATAATAAAAAAAAAAGGCAGGCATTCCATCTTCTCCCATCCGCTTGGGTCTATCAACAGAACTGGGTTTTAGTCTGCTGTGCCCACGCCTGCGCAGACCCTGTCTCTCCTTGGTGGCACCGAGCAGCTCAGCGGGGGAAGCTGCACTCATGCCCCACCCCCTAGTAGTAGCAGTTCAGGCTCCGGGTGCCAGGCACCTCAGGCTGGCCATTCATCCAGATCTCCCTGATGATGCGTTCCCGCTCCTCCAGCCGCTGGGCCCGCTCTAGCTCCTCCGCCGACGTGAAGACGTTCTTGTTCAAAGTCCTCTCGAAGCGGCGGTGTCTCCGGACCGAGAGGTCAGACGCAGTGTCCGAGCCGCCATCCTCACTGTCACTGCTCCCACTGCTGCTCTCTCTGTCCTGCAAGAAGGTCCTCCGGGGAGGGCGCCGCCGCCGGCAGTCGGTGTAGCAAGAGATTCTCATCACCAAGGCAACCAGGGTGAGGACCAGTCCAACGCACACGCCAGAGACAAAATACAGGGCTGCCCGTTCAGGATTTTCTGGAGGACGATAAGAAGAGAGGATTTAAGCGGTGACGACTCCATACCCTGCGACCAAGTGTAACTCCAGTCCAGGTCACAAACCTCTCCTCAGAGTCCTGGGCTTTGATGGTTACAAAGTCTGCCCTGCCATACGACCAGTTACTTACTACATTCAAAGCATTATTACTGACCAACGCATCAGGGCTTCTTTTTCCTGTTCTTGCCACTTCCGTTTTGAAATTATTTCAAACTGAAAAGTTTTTAAAAAGGAAAAACTCAAGTTATTTAACAACTGTCTTTAAAATCCATTCATTTACGAGATATATTTGCCAAAAGCCCCCTTTTGGGAAGCACAGAAAAATCTTCGCTTCTGAACATGCTTGTACAACATTGGAATTGCCTTTTAAGCAGGTACTTTCTGCAATGACTACCTTGGAATTGCCTTTTAAGCAGGTATAGTCTGCAATGACTACCAGAAACCCATGCTTCTGGTGTTTCACGTCCTGTGTAATCGCCTCTGCCTGTGTACAAGCTACCCCTCGTGACTGCCTTGTCAACAGCGGGCACATACCGTGGGCCGGGCTTCAGACCACCTCAGAAGGTGAACAGAGCAATCAGACAAATAACACAAAGCTCCGTGTTCACTATACTGTTGTCTATTAAGGGTGCAATATCATGATGAAAAAACCCCAATGTTGAAATAGTGTGAAAATGACCAAAACATGACAGAAAGACACATGCTGTTGGGAAAATGGTGCTGATAGACGGGCCTGGGATGCAAAGTTCCCGCAAACCTTCCATTTGTAAAAGGACACATTTTCTGCAGCCAGCAATAAAGCGAAGCATGATAAAACGAGGCCTGCCAGGATAGCAGAAGTGACGAACGAGCACCACTGCTAACACGAGGTTCCAGGAGTCTGTGGCTGCCACCCTGCTCCTTCACTCTGTCATGTCTTGCTTGCTCTGATGAAGACATGCACAGCCAGGTTGTCCGAGTCCCACAGAGGGTTGGCACTGCACGGAGCGCAGCGCAGTCTCGTGCCAACAGCCTTGGAGGAAGTGGACCACACCAAGGGCCCTGTGAGGGAGCTCAGAAGCCGATCAGCTTTTAGTCAAGCTTGAGGTGGCCAACACAGCCCGCAAGGACAACGTGACTGCAGCCTTGTGAGAGACCTTCCATTGGAGAAATCAGCCAGGTGGCACCTGGACCTTTGCTCCACAGAAACACAGAGATGGTAAATGGTGTCATTTTAAGCCACTGAGTTTAGGGGGTATGGGTGACACAGCAATAGATCATTCATCCTACTTCCCATTTAAAGCCAGTGCAGGCATTTTGGAGTGACTTCATCGTGGTAATCACCAGGGGATTTACGGGGACCGGAGCTCTTCCTGGGTGAGAGGAGAAAATAATCATGCTGGTGTAAGGTGACCAGACGTCCCACGTTTGGCAGGGCAGTCCCAATTTTTAACAAATTTTCCTGCATCCCGCGACATTTTTAAAAAGTCCCGATTTTTTGAAAGAATGCACGAAAAGATAGGGTATATAGTTTTCAGCTGCCATGTGGCTATTTCGCCAGGATATGAGTTTTATCAATGGTGTCCCGCCTTACCAATGTTAAAATCTGGTCACCTTATGCTAGTGGTGAGCAGTGTGCTACGTGAACCCAGTGCGGATGCCTACAAGATGAACCCCACCAACCGAAAGACTGCCTGTGGGCGAACAGCTTCCTTCTCCTGGCAAGTGTGAGAAGACAGGGACACACCTGGGCAGGAATCGGAGAGCCTGGTCAAACGGACATGAGCCAAGACATGAGCCTGTAAACACATTTCCTGTGATCCATATTCACTTTCGGAGGAGCCCTAGTGGTCTAGCAGGAGCCCGGGTGGCATAATGGTGATGGGTTTTGCTGCTCACCACAAGGTCAGCAGTTTAAAACCCTCAGCTGCTCCTTGAGAAATGTAAGGATTTCTACTCACAGTCCAGGAAACCTACCCGGGGAGTTCTCCCCTGTGCTAGTGCCACTATGTGTCGGAAGCTACTTAATGGCAGTGCGTCCTGAACTTGTATATTCACTTTTAAGGAGAACTCAAAGTAGTCTTGTGCGTTTTTTAGAAGAATATGTTGTTGTTGTTGTTGTTGTTGTTAGGTGCCAATGAATTAGTTTGGACCCACTGCGACCCTGCGCACAACAGAAGAAAGCGCTGCATGGTCCTGCGCCGTCCTCACAATGCTCCCTAGATCTGAGCCCATCGTTGCGGCCGCAGCACCAGCCCATCCCATTTCGACGAGGGCTTTCCTCTTGTCCACTAACCTTTTATTTCACACAGCATGATGTCCTTCAGGGAGTGGTCTCCTTTCTTGACTATACATCCAAAGTATATAAGTCAAAGTCCCGCCATTCTTGCCTCTAACGAGAACTCTGGCCATATTTCTTCCAAGATATTTCAGTTTGTCCTTTTGGCCATCCATGCTACTTTCAATATTCTTCTCCAGCAGCACAATTCAAATCCATTGATGTTTCTTCCATCTTTCTTATTCGATGTCCAACGTTCAGACGAACATGAGGCCATTTAAAAGACCATGTCTGGAATCAGGCACACCTTAGTCCTCAAAGTAACACCCTTGATTTTCAACACCCTGAAGAGGTCTGTACAGCAGATTTTCCTAATACAGCATGTCGTTTGATCTCGTGACTGCTGCTTCCATGAGCAAGTAAGACAAAGTCCTTGACAACGTCAGCCTTTTCTCCCTTTATCATGATGTTATGACCTATTGGTTCAGTTGTAATCATTTTGGCCTTCCTGACATTGAGTCGTGATCCATACTAAAGCTGCCATCCTTCATCTTTATCAGCAAGTGCTGAAGAAGAAGAATATCTACAACATCAAATAAAGTACAAATTTGTCTTTTAGATTTAATAATATTTCTAAGAGAGTTTTCCTGATCTGTGCATGTAGGTCAATACTCCTACATAATGTTCTGTAATAGAGCTCTAAGAAGTTCATTTAGACTACTCTTCTTTAAAAAAAATTTTTAAAAGCCATTGCAATCCAAGCTAGAGTCGACGTTCTTGTGTCCTTGTGTCTCTCTCTATGCACACTAGAGAATTGGTTATCTGGAAGCAGAAGGTGAGGCAGTTTATTGTGCCAACCTGGCCGATAAACACATGTGGGGTTAATTGAAGGGCAGAGGGATAAATGGCTCAGTGAGCCTCGCCTTTCGAGTTCTCGTGTCTCTTGCTTTCTGATGGTCGGACCAGGGTGCAGCTGCCTTAGCCAGTTCCCTGCTTCAAGTGGCAAGTCTCACTTCCTGCCAGAGATGCCCAAGGAGAAGCCACATGGACCTACCCCGATGCAGCCCTGAGTGCTGGAGCAGCCGTGTGGAGACCCCTGCCAGAGCTGAGATGCTTACACATTCACTGACTCAGCTTTCCTCCTGCAGTCGGCGTCATAGTGTATGTTTTGTGAGATGGAGGAGGACTTTGTGGATTGGTGTCGGATATATGGGTTAATGTTGGATTTGTGGGCTTGGGCAGCCCTGGGTTGGGATGTTTTCTTGATGTGCACTAAACATTTATCTAAAACTCTCTTATATCTATATGCGTTTCTGTGGAACTGTTTCTCTAACATACCCAGACTAACACAGAAGGGTTGGGCCAAAAGATATAGACATTTTGGAATCTTGTGCATTTTACTACATTGCATCCAATATAATAGTCTAAATCTGGCATATTGAACCCATGTATTTACAATTTTTATAAATATATATTTTAATTTAACATTTTACTGGGTGCGCTGACAGACATCATAACATTCCATAGTTCAATCACATCAAGCAGTATTATAAAATTGCTATCACAATGTTTCTAAACATTTTCTTTTACTTTTTTCTTGAACTCCTTGATTTCAGCTCCCTACTTTCTACCCTACCCTCCAGGAAACCTCTTTTTTTGCCTACAATAGTTTTGGTTTTGAGGGGTTTTTCTTGCCATATCTTGTACGATCCAATATATCTATTCACATACAATTCTGTTGTTTGATCCCATCAAGTGGGGTTATACAGACAATAATGCTATCAGCTCCCTGTTCCCCTCTCCACCCCCCCTTTCTTCCCATACCTTCAGGGAACCATTACTCCTGTTACAGTTTCTGAAGGGTTATCTGTCTTAGCTTTCATGTACTGAACTATCTTAAATATACAAATGAACATACACAAATCTAACATGATTAATGAGGTAAAACAAATAAAAACAATAATAGTAAGATGAGGAAATATAAAGAACTAGAGGATAGTTATGTGGCTCTGTATTTATAAATGTTAATCTCACTGAAAGTGCCACTGAAATGACAGTATGATGAATAAATATGGCACAAACTACAAGGGCCTTGCGTATGGCCCTGTTCAATGCTCACCCTCATGAAGAGATCACTGAAGAAGTGGGTGCTATAGCCACGAGTGGAGAAGAAACCAGAGGGTACTTGGCTCTCAGAAAGAATATCATCTACGGTCTTAAATGTTTGTTTTAAAACAAGCAGCCACCTAAATGAAGCATCAAAACCAGAAGTACACCAGCCTGTGTGATCCAAGATTGTAAATAATAAAATCCAAATCCAAAGGAGGGAATAGTATTATAGCTTAACTTGTGAACACCTGGTTTTGCAGCGGGCATTGGAGGACAGTGGAAGGGCAAAATCCATTTGTAGGGTCCCCACATGGATTAAGCCTTTGGTGAATCCTCCTTGACTACAGTCTAGGGAGGTGAATAGCCTTGCTATTAGAGAAACATTGTAAAATTGATTATAGCAGATGTATTATCATTTCTTTTTTTTTGTATTATCATTTCATCTACAAAAGGACCTATAAAAAATTTCAATCGTGCTCTTGTTAGATGCTGTCAAGTCAGTACTGACTCATCGCGGCCCCTATGTACAACAGAACAAAACACCAATCATTCCTGCTCCATTCTCACAATTGCTGTTATTTCAACCATAGGTGTCCAAATGTTTCTACCATGTAA